TTAATTCCGATAAAAAAGCAAAAATATCCAAACGAAAAAGCGATGGAGCAGAAAAAAAACCGAACATAAAGCAAACAGAAACCGACAAAAAAGCAAACTTAAAAGCAAACGAAAAGCGAAGGAAAAGCAAAATAAAAGCGACGAGAAATGCAAACAAAAAGCAAAGCACAAACCAAATAGAAAGGAAAGAAAAAGCAAAAAAAAAAGCAAACAAAAAAGCAAAAAAAAAGCAAAAAAAAAGCAAAAAAAAGCAACATGAAATGGAAACACGAAGGCATGATGCCTTGTTTCATAGTAACTAATAAAGCAAAAATAAGGAGACACGAGAACAAATAGGTGAATCAATGGTATATGTTGCAAAGCATCTCCAATTGGAAATGTAGGGAATATGAAAGGCAGTCAAAAGCGAAGCCCAAAAAAGAAAGACATGCACCGACAAATATAAACAAAACAACATCGATTCAGCAATCCAGCCAGGAAAAGACACCACCAAGCCCGGCGAAACAACCCAAGCAGAGCGTTTCTGGTACAGTAAACACAGAAACGGAAATGAAGAAAACGAGCGAGGGGTATCGGCACTAACCCCTTAACCACACAGGGCATAATCTTCACGAACCAAGAAGGACATTCGCAGACACATAGGCGGTCAACGCAACCTCAACAAGTAACCAGCATGCAGCCAAGCTGCACCGGGAAAGCTCAACAAAGAGCAATTGCGGTGATCACATTACACACCGAAGTGTGCCACAAGCAGAAAAGGAGGTATGCAGTGAACACCAACCGACATCCAAGCGGATTCGACGGCCTTTCGACGTGAACGCCGGCGGCAACAACTTTCTAACGATGTTCGTTGGCAGCATAGCAGAAACTGCCGTTGGCCGGCATGGACACTCTTTGAACACAAACGGCTGCGGCTTAGGCCAAAATAACTACGGTGTTATGTGTTGCACGCCAACGTGTGTTTTGTTGCTTTGTGCGATCGTGTCATCCATGTATGTTTTCGGTCCACCATGAGCCTAGGCTTTCCGAGGAATGTTGTTGATGTTTGGTGGCTCTCTTACTGTCATGGCTGTGGAACTGTTTTTCTTATATTCTTATGATCTGGACACGTGCAACCAGATGTTCATGACTGGCTTGCGGACCAACATCATTCACTTTGGACTTTGGCAATCAAGCTTGGCTTATTTCCACGCAAACTCGAACTGTAAATAAATATGATTTGAAGGGCTGCGAAGCAGACAAATGGAGACCAGCATATCTGGCACACCAACCTCTTGCACTCTCAGATCAATACGAGTCTAGACTTCATATTCATATGCCGAAATATATTCAGAAAAGCTTAGGGCTTACAAAGTTTCTCAATCCAGAAACAATACGAAGGGAAGTAATATTGCATTCCAATATCAGTATATGCACAGTTATGCACATCTGAAACCTTATTCGCCGATCCACTTCCTCAGCGCTAAATCCAAACCTACACAGCCTCAGCCGTAAACACGATAGAAGTTGCGGACTGTACGCTTCAGATTTTCATCCCAAGCGGCAAGGTTGCAAGGACAGGTATACACGTGAAGCCGTAGGAAAACTGTCGCTCAGCTGAACGAGGCTGCATGTGAGCTTCAACCCGCATGGTCTCGAATCGGCCTATAGGCCTAAGCATCCCTCAACCGAGACTCTAGGTACTCTAGGCCACAGGGTAAAGTCGCAATGACGTCATGCGTACTTTGGATTCCGGGTTCCGCAACAGCCTCGGCAACTGGCACATAGGGCATACAGCAAAAGCCCCAAGCTAAGCTTGCGAAAGAAAACAGCGATGGGTCCCAAAAGCAGGACTGCCCTAACGTGGATTGGTCTCGGGAACTGTAACATACTAGTTACTACGACACTAAGACCCGGACTGGGAAAACTGGGGCTGACTTCGAAACAGCCAAAACCTGCTGCTAACAACGTGTTGCTACAACAACTTGCCGACACAACTTCCTGAGCATCCACGTCTCAAAATGCCTGGCAGACTTAAAAGCTGGGCACTGCAAGACTCCATCTGTCATTTTTTGTCCAGCAGCCGCTTTGCAGCTGCCAGCACAGCTGGATGGACATGTGTATCATCGATGCCCAGCTGCCAATGATCTCCCTGCAAGTAGGAAAGCTCAGCACGAACGAGTTTCTGCGCTTCACCCTTGTTCGCCTCCATTATGGCATTGGCGAAAATGCCTTCGCTTCTGAAGACATAGCCATCGAAAAGGCTCTGCTTGACTTTCTCGCACATGTTGAGGAAGGCTGCGGACTCAGCCCCAAGTTCCACCATCTCCTTGAGGACGGTCACCTTCTTCTTCCATAGGACGATCTTGGCATTCACCTGCAACAAAGCGGGCTTGCGTCAAGCATTCTAGAATTCTAGAATTGTAAACGGCCACCGGGCTGCCTCCAACAAAACCTGTAAGCAAAAATGGCGTGCACACCAAGACTCAGGCTCAGAAACATTGCGTAGCGAAACCCAGCGGCTGGTGACTAGTGAGCCTAGTGTCACGCCTTCACTGGCTAAGTCTATGCCTACGTGTAGGTCTTTGTTTTTGCGACAGATGTCGAAGCCTCCTTCAGGGATTGATTGCAGAGTCGGCTCCAGCTCGGAAACATCAAAGTCGAGGGTGCTGGCGACGCACAGCTTCACCGTCTCGGCTGCAGCATCCGGCTGGAGGTCCTTCGTCCATCTGGACTTCGGCATGTGCAGGTTGTTGGTGATGTCACCCACCTTGTCGATGAGGTCCTCCGCACTCTTCTGCATTTCCTTCATTGCCAAGACAAAGGCTTCCTGCATGTCCTCCGGCACCTGGAAGGGTCGCTCCAAGCCGGAGAAGCACAGCTCCTTAAGTTTGGCATGCTCAGCAGGAGCTGAGGACGCCAAACTGTCCATGCTTCTGATGGCCTTGTCCCTGACAACCCGCAAGCCCTCCAACTGCTTCAGGTACGCGAGAAGAGAGCCCCACCTGACATCGTTCTTGAGGCGGCCGGCAGAGTCGCTGCCGAGCTTCCGGAACTTGTCCAGTTGCTTCAAAAGGTGCAATCCATCCTGCATGTACTGCATCTGCAACTTCAAGCTTTCCGCCACGAAGTCATCGAAGGCAATCTTCCCGAAGCCGTCAAGGATGCTGAAAATCTGATACGCAAGCCGCTTGTGGTTCGAGGCCTGCAGAAGAACCCATAAGAAAGATTTCAACAGAAGTGACGTGGTTGAAAACCACAGCACTTAACTCAATCCCCACATTGGTTGCTGCAAGTCTGCAATTTCCCATTTGTGTATGGGCGGGTGAACTACCGGATTTTGTCAAAGAAAAAACGAATTGTCGGTTCATGTGAAGACCGTCCTGGTTGTGGACCTTCGTCATGGCGGCCCAAACCAGCTGCTGCAGCAGCTGCTTTGCATCGTTCTTCAGCTCCTTCTCGGCCTTGAACTTGTCCAAAAGCTTCGCGAGCTCGTCGATCGGGACCTCCGCCTCATCGTTCCCGGCTTCGTTCAGGATCTTGTTGCCAAGCGCAGATGCTTCCTGCTTGTGCAGCTCCACTTGGATGCGTTGCTGCCACTTCAAAAACTTCTGCTTCACCTGCAACATGTCCTTCTGGGGAAACTTGTCAACGGCCTGCATGAGCACCTGGATCATCCCTCCATCGCACTCGGCCACAGTCGTGGAGGCGCAAAGCTTCTCAATGTACTTCTGCGTCGTCTCGCGGATGAGTGACTGCAGCTGATCGACGGCATTCTTGCGAAGGCCATTCTTCAAGGTGTCGAAAGCGTTGACCGCCTGGACGAAGTGCTCACTGTAGCCGTCCTCTTCCGAGATCGACTTCATCTTCACCACATGCTCTTTCAATTGTTCCCCGAACGCTACAGCACTCCCTCCGAGCTTCAAGACCTCATCCACCCTGGATTGCCAAATACCGTTGTCTTGGAGGTGCAGCTGCAGGGCACCCAAGAAATCGTCCTCGCCGCCGTTGCCCTTGTAGGACATGATTTTTGCCACGTGGCTTGTAGTGGTCCCCAGGTAGCCCGGCGTCGGCTCCAACAGAACCAGCAAGCATGCCATGGCCTTGAACACAATGTCCATTGCGTTGGAGACGGTCTTACTCATGTCCAAACTCGGCACGTCGTCTTCATTGTACTTGGTCACAAACCTCACGGTCACACCTTTGAGGCGCTCGTGGAGCTTGGGCTCCTCAATCATCGCAAAGAACTCTCCGCAACCCATGGCATGGAGAATGGATGACTCCAGCTCCTGACAAGCTGACAAGCCTGTGTGAACACACACCAGCCCACCCCACCCGCCCACCCACCCACCCACCCACCTACCCACCATGCAACACACACACACACACACCAACACACAGGCATACAGTCCGAGTCAGAGACACACGCACATACTCTCTCGATCCATCTCTCACTCTCCCCCTTTCTCTCTCGCTATCTATCTCTCTCTCTGACTGGCTGACACTCACTGACATCAGCCGACAAATACACATATGCATCCATCGAAACGAAAAGAAACCCTACTACTATCACTATCACTATCATAACACACTGGTACACCGGGCCGCTCAGATTCTTAAAAAGCTTCGACTACGGCACACTGTCACAAAATTTTCACGGCTCAGACTCATTTCGGGAAACACGACACGTGTAGTCTCAAGAACCCACAGTTTAAGCGGATTTGGGGCTAAGGCTTTTTGGGGTTTAGGGCAAGGGTGAATAAAATACATAGGCCCTAGGTCTACAGGTGAAAGGGTTAGGGCTTTAGGTTTAGGTTTTTGCGCTTTGGGGCTCAGGGTTGCGTGGCTTAGGGTCAAGGGTGTTACGATGAACGGTTTCAGGGTAGAGGGTTAAAAGCTTAAGGAGTTAGGGTTGCGGTTACAGGTTTGTGTTTGAAAGCCAGACTTTTCGGCTTTCAGGCTTACGAATCCCAGCCTCCTCCAACGTCTCCAACACCTTGGAGTTCTCATCCTCCTCCTCATCCTTCTCCGTCTTCAACTCTGCCGCCAAATCATTGTAGCTGAAGATGTCCACTTCTTTCGCCTTCTTCTTAGGCTCAACCTCGTCGCCCATGCAATGTCGCCAGCTGATGAGAACGCTCATCATCTGGTCCACGATCTTCTTGATGTCCTGCAGCAAGCTTCAACTAAGACTTATGAAACTCAAACCAGACTGGTCAAACATCTTCGACATCGGGAAAGGCGACCACACGGGAATGTCTTTTCGGACTATCTAGGAATCTAGGACAATAATAAGTACCTAAATGAGTCAGGTTATGTGGTGGTACAGTACAGTTACTATAGTATAGTATAGGTCTAGAGCCCAATAGAATCTCACAGAGTCCCATAGAATTCGTTTCCTGCGCAGAGGTGTTCAGAGGGCTGTGGAAAAGGTCGTGCCAAGTGCCGGCAAGGATTTTCTCCGTTCCCACGACACGGATGTTGAAGGGCAAGTCGATGTTGTTCGACAGCAACTTTTCCATGCTCAAACGGCACTCTCGAGCACTGAGCTGGGCGGGAGTGTGCGTCAGGGCATTGGCCAATTCACACATCTCGATGTGTTTGTGCAACGTCTTCCATTGGAATTGCCGCTGCGCTTTCATTTCATCCATGATCCTCTTTG